CACTCAGACACTGAGCCATTGACTCCAAGTGTGACCATCCAGCTGGTTCTTTATCCATCAAGTGGTCCATCCATCAAATCCATGTCTCTCCAGTTTTGAGAGGAGAGTATCGAAGGCTTTGCACAAGTCCAGGTAGACTACATCAGTTGCCCATCCTCTATCCACCAAGGTCGTGACGCCACCATCACGATAATCTCTCTGCCAAATGCAGCCCTAGAGTTTGCAGACACACTGCTGACTAATTTAGCTCCTAGACCCAAAGGACATATCTATGCCTCTGAACCATGTTACTGAACAGGCTAGTGTCTTGTTTCAAACTATCAAACACCACATACAACATCATGACCCAGTTCTTTAAACTGTCAGTATAGATTATGTTAAGTATTTTTTGAGCTGGATATACTCCAGTCTGCCAAAATTCCAACAGGAAAACCATTCAACAAGTAAGTACCTCCAACAGAAAATTCAATTCTAAAGAACAAGCTACAAGGACAAATTACCTGAGTGCACAGAATGCTGAGAGGGAAGTCTACTGTATTATTTACAACAAGCTTGTCAAAACCTTTTCAAGTTAAACACATGTATGACTGGGAATGTCATACCTTTGCAGTAGTGCATTCAACCATTTGTGCTTCGTCAAGGCAGATCCTCCACCACTCCACTGCTACTAAGGGGCTCGGGATCGCCATGTACCGCTTCTGGTTCCTGAAGCGGCGCCCATCTTCGCTGTTACTGTGGGGTATGTCCACATAGTTCAGTTCAGTGCGGAGAACATCATACGTTGTGATAACCACCTCTTGCTCTGCCAACATGTGCGGCTGCAAAAAGCCATGCTTCTTCACACCTTGATACACCTGCATAGATTTGTATTCAACAGCGTGACAGCAAAAATGAGGAAACACTTCAACAGAAGTCCCAGAACATCACTACAGCTTAATATGTGCATGCTTTTAGAAGTGTTCCTCGTATAATATGAAATCATCCATAAAACCTGTATTCATATGGCAGCATGGTAGGAAATCCATACAAGTAACAGATAACAAATGCAAAAATTTTATGTGTAATTATATCTTCGCAAAGCATTATTTTTTCTCATTTCAAGAAAAACATGCCCTGTCCTCTCCTCTCCTTTACTGTAGGTGTATTACCTTCCATCCTCCCCACTACCAAGAATTTCATGGATGATTTAGGCAAAGATAGAAGTATGCAGCAAAATATTCATCAAGCAGAAATTATACTCTGGGCAATGTTTTATCTACAAAAAGGATTTCTACAGAGACTCGTGAAAGAGAAAGAATACCCTAGTAAGAAACAATCCCTGTGCACCAACACAATATTATTATAAACCTTTCCTATTGACATTAGTTCTAATATCAGAAGTATTTTTCTTATCTCCTCTGTCATATTAAGCAAAATACTTTTGGAAACATACAGCAGTTTAAATTTAAAATCAGTAAGCTAAACTAAACATTTTACTATGTGTTTCTCCACAGAATCATTCTGTACCTAAAGAAAGCGTGTTATGAGTCCCAATATACTTACAATACAAAAACATGTTAAAAATTCAAATAATGTGTGGCACAGCACAAAATCAGAAATATTTTTGAAATAGGAGTGTTTTCTCATCTCTTGGCTTTTCAGCTGTTAAGAGATTGTTACCAGAGCTATATACCAATCACCTTCTTTGCCTTCTGATACAAACATTTTCTCTTACTCCCAGTTTACCTCAGGAACCTACTACAAAATTACAGGCATTCATTGCTTTCTTTAAGAATTTTACTATCAGTTACTTCTTGTCACTTATCTATTAATATTAATCACAACATGTAATCACAATAGACAAGGCTTTCTTCTGACAGATACAGGAACATCCCTACCTATTTAGAAAGTATCTATATTCTAGTCTCACCTTCAAACAGCTAGCATCTTTCTATTCCCCTCTCATTCAGTGAGTTCATGACTTATTACATAACCACTAACCAAGATGGCCCATTCTCATCTGCAGCTACCCACAATTTTTACCATTTAAAAATAAAAAAAAAAAAAAATCAGTCTTTCCAGTCCCTCATAGTGTCACAAACTTTAATATCCTCTTAATTCACACAACTAATAGTTAAAAAAATATGTGAATTCGGGTGACTCTATAAAACCTTAGTTTATTTTCCCTCCTTCACCCCTTGATGATCAGCACATAATGGATTTCACATTTGTGCATAAGGCAACAGTGTTTTCTGTCAACTGCGGAAGACACTTGCAGAAAATTTCTGTTCAGTCCCAGAGTGTGACAACAGAGCGTGTGCTACCTAGTCAATGAACATCAACTGAAAACAGAAAAGGGAAGGAGGGAGCATGCTCACTGAAGCAACTGATAAGAAGGAAAAATAGCTGCCTAGGTCCAATAATTTCTTCCAAATATTTATGAAGAGATTTTATGGAGGTTTGTAACTTGGCCAAGTTTTGGTTGTTTACAGCAGCAGTAAGAGACAACTATGCCACAAAGGAAGACCTACTGATAAATTTTAATTTCTCGTTCTATTAAATATAACCATTAGAATTTCCCATGGGTTGTATGCGGTTGGAAGAATAAAAACCACCCTTTACATGCAATGCAAAACTGGTTCTTTGAAACTTCTGCTTTTTTTTTTTTTTTTAACTTCACAGAAAAACCAACCAATTTTCATTACGAATTAACACTGAAAGCAATTCTGGGTGACTTACAACCAGCAGTTAAAAGAACATGAAAATGGAGTCTTAGAATGGAAGGTGTCACACAGCTTAAAGTACTGACATTCAGTATTTAAGCTATTTTACTGCTCCCATGTAAATCTGTTTATGACAGTTTTCAAAGCTGGCATAAAACTTGGACTGGGTCCTACAAAAACTGTGCAAGTTTTACACATGTACTAGTTGCTGCACTAAATCTAATTAGACTGCTCACACGAATGGCTTACTGGAGGCCTACAATTCACTTATGCACAGGGTACCTATTCAGGATAGCTGATGGTATTAGAGACATCCCTGAATACAAAGCTTCCTCTCTTTATCAATCTACTATTACTGTACTCAAAATATAAGGTAACTACCATTCTCAAGACACTTTACCATCACAAAGGTTCTTGCCTTCTAAAAATATGAAGGACAAAACTTGACTACATCATTAATGAAGACATTGGCTACCTCTGAATACTGTAATAATGTGCTGGTTTTGGTTGGGACAGAGTTCATTTTCTTCACAGTAGCTAATATCAGGCTCCTTTTTGGATTTGTGCTGAAAACAGTGCTGAGAACAGGGATGTTTCAGGCTTACACAGAGCCTTTTCTGCCCATCACACCACCCCATCAGCGAGTGGGCTGCAGGTGCACAAGAAACTGGGAGAGGACACAGCCAGGACAGCTGACCCCAAATGATCAAAGGGGTACCCCATACCATATGACATCATGCTCAGTTTATAAAGCTGGGGGAAGAAGGAGGAAAAGGAGGACATTTGGAAGGATGAAAGCTTCCTCTCTTTATCAATCTACTATTACTGTACTCAAAATATAAGGTAACTACCATTCTCAAGACACTTTACCATCACAAAGGTTCTTGCCTTCTAAAAATATGAAGGACAAAACTTGACTACATCATTAATGAAGACATTGGCTACCTCTGAATACTGTAATAATGTGCTGGTTTTGGTTGGGACAGAGTTCATTTTCTTCACAGTAGCTAATATCAGGCTCCTTTTTGGATTTGTGCTGAAAACAGTGCTGAGAACAGGGATGTTTCAGGCTTACACAGAGCCTTTTCTGCCCATCACACCACCCCATCAGCGAGTGGGCTGCAGGTGCACAAGAAACTGGGAGAGGACACAGCCAGGACAGCTGACCCCAAATGATCAAAGGGGTACCCCATACCATATGACATCATGCTCAGTTTATAAAGCTGGGGGAAGAAGGAGGAAAAGGAGGACATTTGGAAGGATGTTTTGTCTTCCCAAGTAACTGTTATTGCATGTGACAGTGTTGTAATGGTGTTACTCCCAGCAAACACCACAGGTCGACCAAGGCCAAAGTACACTCTTTACCTGCTGAAACATTTGTTTTTATCTAGAGAAAAAAAAAGGAGAAGCAACTGTCAGAGAGCTGCTGGGGTTGGGTATAGTAAGACTTGACACTACCAAAACACACAGACTACCAAGGAACTTAGAAAAGCCTAACTTGTAGGAAAAAAGAGCCACCACAGACAGCCTTCCCTCTCAGAAATCACATGTTATTGCCACTGCTCAAAATCTGCTTCCATTTGATAAAGATATCTAGTGCATTGTATCATCTCCCAGTGACCAACCAACAGGGGCGGGGGAAAAAAGGTAAATGCAGATAGACTTTCTGGGACACAGATACACGACGTTGTTTCAAAACATAGGTCTAATAGCAAGAAATGTAGAACTCTGACACAGAAGGCAAAGAAACCTCTCAGTTTGATGCAATATACAGCGTCAGACAGGTAGCCCTGAGCCTTGATAAAATAACTCTCCAGAATATGAAGCTATATAACCTTACCAGAACTCGAAGAGATGATGATCTTACATGCCTGTTGATCTCATCTACCCACTGATGGCAAATAGAACTTGGAGAAATTATCAGAGTCGCTCCCGTGGAAACTGGTTTCATTGCCACCAGACAATGGGGACAGTAGAAGGGCTTGATCTTCAGGTTTTCCTCTTTGTAGTTTACACATTCTGCGTGCTGCCATAAATGACATTTCAGGCACTGCACTCGAGCTTTATAGTCAGCCAGCCCAAGCTCACCACAGATGCATTCAAAACGATAATCAGAGGTATTAAACGGAAATACAGAACTGGTATGTTGTACACTACTGCCAGCACTTTCTTGGGAAAGTGAGGACTGGTCCTTTGGAACTTCCTGCTGGATATCAGCTATACTTTTAGGAACATCAAAATCAGGATGACTGCTCGCATCACTGGAGACAAGGAGGCTGCCATACAAATCGGGAGACTCTGGAACCACAGCTTTCTGCTGAATGCTATCCTCTTCTACAGAATTCTCATGCTCTGCTTCAGATTTCCTATTATTTTTGCTAGTTGCACAATAATCATGTTCTTCCATCGTGATATCCACCCGTAAAGGACTTTGAAGGACATTTTCAGAAGTGATATCACTATTTCTTGATTCTTTGGTTTGAGTTTTAGCATCAACCAACTGCTTCTTCTGCATGTTTTCTGAAGTCCTTGCTATCTACAAAGTAAAATTAACCAGAAAGTCACACTTCTTCCTCACTTTATCTTCTTTTGGAACATATAAATACATCAAGACATAAGATATTTAGATTTTACATCTATTTCAAGTTTGAGGACGTTTAATATTTACCAGTGTTTAAAAGACAACTTTACAGCAAAAACAACACCTCTGCCAGCCACCACAGAACTAATTTAAAAGATTTATGACAAATGCAATTAGTATTTTAGCCCCAAGTCTGATCTACTTAAGACTCTGCTTCTTTGTTCACCCATGTCAAAGCAAATGGTGTAGTTGTCTTCATTTTTATCAACAAGCCAGCATCACTAACTACTGCACACAGACAACACAGCTCAGAGCAGCACAAAATTGGCAGAAATAAGATCTGCCTTGGCAAAATGCCTTGAATTAACTACAGCACCATGTTTTACCTGCTCTTTGGTTCTTTCTCGCCTCTTCTGTTCCTTATAATTCTTCCCCAGCTTGAAAGACCCAGCCAGACCATGTCCTTTGACTTGCTCTACTACTTGTTCTGAAATTAGTTTTTCTAGGGTTCTTTTGAGAAGCCGCCTATTTCTCTGTATGTCATACCTATATATAGCACTGATGTATTTAAATATTGCAATGATGGATGCTCCTTTCTTCACATTCATTTCTTTCACAGCTGCTAATATCATCACTCGTAAGCCTATATGCAGAATTAAAGCAAAAAATATAACAGGTCATACAGAATGAAATTTACCTCGGAGAATGCATCTTAAGGGAACTCTAAGCATCTAAAAACCAAAAAAGACAGGCAGGAGTTATGTCAGTGTTTTACTTGAGGTAGCCCTACAAATCCCTGTTTTTCAGGGACTAAGGCAACACTGAGTAGCAACAGAAGTGACACTAATTTTTCTTACCGAAGCTAGTTAGAAGACATATTTCAGTTAGGTGCAAAAAGCTCTTACAACAACCTTTAGCTACATGCAGCTCAGCAGCACAGAGATCTGAGTTGGTAACTTCAGTGTGGATCACTTGTTTGTAGCATGCAATCCTACATCACAGTTCTCAGCAATAGAATCATTTAATTTTGCAGAAGGGAGGAGTAGCCTTGAACTCTTAGTCAGCGGCCAATATAAGATTTATGCCAAAAGCAAAATTTATTATGAAGTCAGAAATACTTACTGGGATACTGTATTTTTTCCTTCAATTTAAGCTCCATTTCCTTTGGTTTTTTCTTTTTATTTTCTTCTGAAGGTTGAGGTGGAACAAAGAAGTTCACAAGCTTACCCTAATGCACACAAGGTTAAATAGTTATTAGCTCATGTCTCATTACAGTAATTCTGAACTTAATCTTTTCACATTTGAAAATAAGCACAAGCTGCTACAGATGTGTGCTCCAATCTCACTCATTTGCTCAAACAGCTCATTTTTAGTGTACAGTGATACCCCATTTGGTTCAGTTTCTTGGCAAACAGTGTCAGCACCCTACACTGAGAACAAGGGGAACAGCCTTGCCAGCCACTTGCCTGCTACTTCAGAATTAAGTTACAGCTATGGATTCCAGTAAGTGATCGAGGTTACTGATGGGGGGGGAGGAAAAAAAATATATATTTAATATATAGCTAGAAACACAGAAGGAGGTAAGCAATATAGACTGAAAAGCCCTAGTTAGTTGTATAACAAGTTTCTCCTTTTAGGGACTGCCTCCCCCAAAATTACTCTAATAATAGTGATTCAGGAGGAGTGATTTAATTCAAGGGGTATAATCAAGAACTGGGATATAAAAAATCTCAACGATGGAATAAATGCAGTGTCAATATTTCTGTGACTGTTTAATAGCTGTATTCATTGACACCTGACTCTGCCTTGACCAATTGGTTGCTTCACAGAGTTCTTAAGTAGTAGCTGCAATGAAACTCCAGCCACTTTGAGCCCTACCGTGAGTCAAAATACTTGGAGTAACTCTGACACTGGCTCACACAATCCAGGAGTTGTCCAGAAAGTCTCTTTTGGAATAAAGCACTTCTGTTTGGTTTTGTTTTGGGTCTTTTTTCAAGACATCATACAAAGACATTTTATATTTGAAGACAAGAAAAAAATGCAGATGACAAGGGGCCTTCTGGATGAATGGAACAGTGCCTTCTAATCACAGGCAGTGTCATGTAATTCTTCTCATAAAGATCTCAAAGTGTTATCTAAGATGGTTGTACCAGCAACTCGTATCAGGGAAGAGTTTCATAACCCCAGCTCTCCTAAAGTTAGGGTCTCTCACTATTGTCACCAGTTGATGTCCAGATGCTTTAGTGCTAATGCTTCCCTCTTCACACTCCTTGGTGCTGACCCACTGATATATTTCAGAATCATCTTTGAGAATTAGGTCTTTTTAACTGATAAAATTACAAGCAGGCAGGAGATCAATGGAATTGGCTGCCATGAATTCTAAAGGATGGAACCCACAGTAGTGGTAGGAGTTTTCTTAAGGATAAAGATTCTCTCTCTTCAGAGAAAATTTTTGGTTTTAGTGAATGTGCTAAGTTTTCACAGGATACATGACGTGGAAAGTGAAAAGATCAAAAACTGTTGCTAAATAAGCCCATTTATTATATGAAATAGAGGGGGAGCAGAAATCTTTATTCTCTGAGGTTAAATTGTCCCTATTTTAGCGCAGAATGTGTACCTAATGGATATTTGATACTCATCAAAACAATTAAGTGACTAGGAGAGTGATTTCCAACACACAAATTACATATTTATATATTCCTGAAGTACATGTAAACTACCAACAGCTTACTAACAGCACAGCTCCCTGCTAACACCTTTCAACAATGGCAATTGCTATCAATTGCTTCTCATGCATGCCATTCCATTATTTATGCCACCAAGTATCACACTCTATGAAGCAAAAACTCTCACTGTACTTTAAACCCTCTTTAAATCTGGACATCTAAAACACAGAAAACATAGCTCAAGAGAAGTGCATCTCCATTAATTCTGAAAAGTATTTTCTTTGTACTAAATTGCATCCTGGTTTTCTTACCTCAGGTAACGTCAGATCATCTTGCTTAATGTCTGGTCGGGTATGATTCAGAATAAGAGCCAACACTTCTACTGTTTTTCCAAGACCCATCTCATCTGCCAAAATACCTCCAGGCCACTGGGGTCCAGCAATCGGATATTCACGGATAATACTAAAATTCAAGTACATTTCCAAATCAAAGTCGGTAACTACAGAATGGTGTGACAGAGAAGCATGTGTTCAGGGAGACACACAGCAAGGCTTCAGCAAGGCAAACCTTGCAAGATGAGGCAGTATCTTTTATTAGATAAGCTGAGATTGACAAAGGCTAGCAAGGTTTCTGAGCGTACAAACCTGATCAAGACAAATATATATGCCTGAAGTTCTTGGGTATTTTCCCCTCCCAACAGGCTTTATCTTGCTAACTTTAACATATCACAACATTAGTGTTCAAAAAAAAAATTGAGATAATTATATTCACATGTATTAAATATCTGAAAGTCAAAAAGCAAACTAGCAATCAAAATGTTCTATTCTAACCAAATTAGAAAAAAGTGCAACAGAATTGGTAATGCAATACCCAGCATTAATAAAAGCCTCACATTGCCACATTACTTCAAATTTTAAAAACAGTGGACCAGAAGGAATGAGGCCTCCAATGCTCTAATTCGAAAAACTGTTAATCTTTAAACCACAAGTTTGCATTAAAATTAAAAGACCACACACAACTTGAACTGTATCTTCAACTTGAGATGTACATATTAACCGGTGCAATATATGCTGGTTTGTCTTTTTTTCCCTGAATTCAAAATATCACTGTTCTAAGTCTTTAGTTGCTAACTGAAAAACCAGTGTTATGGATTATTTTATATCCTCCAGGTAAAAGCTGCCAGTAAGGTTTTCACAAAGTATGACCTTGAGGTGTTCTTAGAAAGAGATAATTGTAAAAACATACCAGCCAGTAAACGGATTATAGTAGATCTTCACGCCATCCAAAGTGATGACCTCCCGCCATAAGAAGTGCAGTGCATTTTCTACGGAGAAAGAGCTGATGTTACTATTATGGGGTTTCTCTATAAGCAGCACTCTGCTTAGAATTGTTCAGCCTTACTGTGGCAAAGTAAGACAGAAAAACAGACAGCTACCTCCACAGTGCTTCATGACCAACAAGATCGATCAACTGCTGTTCAGCAAAGTTTGGGTAGTACACTAAATGATCAACTAAACAGCAGCTTTCGTAAAAATAGTAACTAAATGATTAGCAAAGCTTCTAATCAAAAAGCAAGAAAACATTACTGCTAACAATACAATGCCATTTGCCTCAACTGTGCAAGTTTCCAGACCCATATACTTGCCACTGGTTGGAGTGCTTGTCAGGTTCTCTCGATGAAGCATCCAGTTCACAGCCTCACTTTGGTACGGCCTCAGAACAGGAATTAATGCAGGATGCTGTACATCCTCTCTCAGCGACTGGATATCCCGCTGATGGGTATGCCTTACAAAGTCATAAAGCTCTTCAGTATTTTGTCGCTCTAGCTCCATGTCAGATTCTTCCTCATCTTCCTCCAGCTCATCTGCATACACAAAGTAATTCAAGACACACATTATCAACCAACTTTGGTCAACATTTCAGTAGATTTTGCTGCAACATATTTAGTGGACACATGCGAGCAAGCCCAGCAAAAGGTCATTTAAACTTATGTCATGACTGCACCTGACAGGCAGCAGCAGCAAGAAAAATTGAGCACTACCTTCCTGAAAGTTAAGTTTAACATGCTGTGGTGATCACAGCAGTATTCATAATCACCAAATTCTTCCTTTAGAGTTTTGGGATAGAATGGCCAGATCTTATTAAATAAAGAGCTTTCACTAAACATTTCCAACTGACACAGAACCACAAATAACTCACATTTCGGATTTAAATGTTAACATGGGTCGACGATCTTCTAGGAAGGGGAAGAACACAGTGGGTTGTCAAAGATTTCTACCTTTTTCATGAAATAAAGCCTTTCTTGATGAAATAGCTTATTTTAAAAACACCAGGAGATTCTCTTCAGTGAGCTTCCACGTTAATTTTGAATTATGCATCTGGATAAGAAAACTGTAGCAGTAGGACAACATAAAATTCTGGCACCACTGCAAAAATTTAAACAAGATTTACTTTAGAAATTAAAGTCCCACCTCCAGAGAAGTATGCAGCCCCTAGGACAGAAGGTCTACCTTTCTTTTCTACCTTCACAGAAGGCGGCCCTCTGCTTAGACTTTTTTCTCATAACTTAGATATATGGGCATACACAAAATTTAAGCACTGTAAAACAAATATTAATGAAAAACTCAAGGGTCAGTATTTTGGCAAACTAACATAAGATAAGGGAACAAAGGACAAAAAGTACAAGTTTTAACAGGATTTTAGGTCTCAAGTTAAAAACATTGGTACCAAGAAAACAGCTGTACAAGTCCACAGTTCAAAGAGAGACTAACCCTTGCTAGTACTGGAAATGAAGCCACCTTGCAGAATTTTTCTCAAAGTTTTCAGCACAAAGTGGCCTTAAGGCATATTTATCAGTATATTATACTTTTTAAAAGAGAAAACAGCTAATGGCAAGCACAATTCAATCAAATTATAATTAAGGTGCCTTGGGCTAACAAAGCAGAGATTTACCTGACACAAACACCAGAGTTTAATCTTAAACTAAGGTTTGGGGGCTGCTATTAGGACTCTTTCATGTAAAGTAAAATCTTTCTTCCATTCAAATGGATGGTGAACGTGAAGACTAGTTTCCAAAACAATCAGCAGTAAATGACGTGCCTATGTAGGGCGGCCCGAGGTGACCTCCTGTAATGCTTTTAAGTCAATGGAACAAGTTCAGCACTTCACAAGGAAAGAGAGTATTCCAAAAGACATTAAGGTTCTATAAACTCATGAAAACTGTACATATCCAGACTGTAATGTAAAGAAGGCAACCAGAGTGAAAATGTGGGGTTACTAATGTTCCAGCCAAACAAAAAGCACCAAGCAAAGCATGCATCCCTATATAATACAAAAAGATCATTCCAAAGGATCCTCTCACATACTCCTCACTTCACAGAAAGAAGAAAAATTAGAGTGATTGCAGAGTATAACTTTGATCAATGAAGTTAATCTATAATGGCACCTACCATCATATTTGCTTAAATAAGTTTGCAAATCTCACATTTCAGACCATAATAAATTGATTTCTCTATAAACTAAGTCTATCCAGAATTTTACAGTAGAGCAAAGACCACCATATACTTTAAAATTTTTTTTTGATACAACTGGATATGTTTTGCCCATACCTTTCTTGTTTTGTTCACTCTCAAAGACTTTATTTTGCCTGATTAAATGGTTCTATGTACCACAGGGATATTTAAAAGGATGCTAAGGAAGTTCACCTCTGTTACTGTATTATTATATTAAACAGTGAATATTTAATTATGCTTTCAGCCATTTCAAAATGTAATTCAATTACATAGCTTTCACCTTAAGTACTTTTTACCTCTGAGAAACAGATGGTATTGTACTGTCTAAAAATTCAGTTTCTCTCATATGTTTCATAATCAAGTATTCTACTTAATTCCTTCAATGACTGAAGTTCTGCTACTGCATCTGCAGTATGATCTTTCTGCTTCACCTGCCAGGCAGTTTCCAGACTGTTGTATAAGAACATCTACATCAGTGAAAATGTAACCTTTCCCTCCTTTATTCTAGATCAATGGAAAACTTACTGCCTCACATTTAGTACTAAAAACTGCTACAGAGACCAAAAAACACTCGCCTTTGCACAAAGATTTTATTCTTAAGAAAACTGAAGGAAAATGGTATATGCTACAGCATATCATAGTATAGTTCCATGACACTATGGGAAAACTAACTCTGAAACATTTACCAGTCACTAGAACAAGTAACAAAGAGACATTTTAGTCTTTTTAGAAAAATTTAAAGACTATGGCTTTCTTTCATATTACGAAAGCAGCTAGCTGGATCTGTAAGTGATCTATGACTGTGTGTTCACTGAAGCAATGACAAGCAACAAGTAATATTACACAGCAGATACCTGGTTTTATAGCAGCTTGCATATTGTATTTATTAAAGCTAACAAAAGAAATCTCTAAACAAATTTCTCAAAGAGTAATTAGCACTACAATTAATGTTCAAAACTCATGAAGTTTCTGCATATTAAATATTTTGACACTCTTCAGATTCATTAGTGCATCTATCCTATGCTTGCCATAACTTGAGATGGAAATCCAAAGTCTCAAAACCATCTAGGAGGACATTAACAGGATAAGTAAATTGAGGAAAGCAAATATATAAAAATGAAACATAGGGATAGAGAGGTCTTGTCCATTATTTGTGTGAGTCCTTGTGCACAGCTCTATCAACACAAAAATTTTCTCATCAATAGGGAGAACAAGAAGCCTCATCTTGGAACCTTGTTGTATAATTTTAGAGAGAGATTGACAAATGTTAACATACACGCCTGCAGTTTTGCAAAACTTAATTTCAATTCCTTCTGTTTAAAAACAGGTGAAATTCAGACATAGAATATGTTGTTAGAAATGGAAATCAATTTATACTTAAGAAGAATGCTTTTATCCGTGTAGAACCAAGGCTATATTAATTTACGCTACATCAAAAAGTAAACAGCTTGAAAAGTGCTGGAAAATGCAACTGGTTTCACAATATGTAACTGCCTGGGGTGTTCCCTCCTAAACCTTTTCCACTTCTGTGACATGATTTATTTCTGAATTTGGAGCATAGCATAATGCACACCACTATGGACTTACATAGCTGTTTAATCATAGAATTAAAGAATGGTTTGGGTTGGAAAGGGACCATAAAGATCATCTAGTTCCAACCCCACTGCCATGGGCAGGGACACCTTCCACTAGACCAGGTTGCTCAAAGCCTCATCCAGCCTGGCCTTGAAGACAGCCAGGGATGGGACATCCACAGCTTGTCTGGGCAACCTGTTCCACTGCCTCACCACCCTCTCTGTGAAGAACTTCTTCCTGATATCTAATCTAAACCTCCCCACTTTCAATTTAAACCCATTACCCCTTGTCCTGTCACTACAGGCCCTTGTAAAAAGTCCCCCCCAGCTTCCTTGTAGCCCCTTCAGGTACTGGAAGGCTGCAATAAGGTCTCCCCGGAGCCTTCTCTTCTCCAGGCTGAACAAGCCCAACTCTCTCAGCCTGTCCCCATAGCAGAGGTGCTCCAGCCCTCTGAGCATCTTCGTGGCCTCCTCTGGACTCGCTCCAGTTGGTAATGATACTGTTTCATTCTCTAATAGTTTCAGGATAATTCTTTACCTTTGATTTGGTTTGACTAACAGCGAACACTAACTTAATGTACTTACTGAGCTATACATGCACCTACCGAACTATAGCCCTAGTTCCAACAGCTAGCAAAGAGGCCATCATTTTTTTCTAATATTGTTAGAAGCCCAATGTTCTTGTTCTTTGTGTTAGGCTGACAAGACAAAGTGTCAAAGGCTAACTTTTAGAATAATACAGCAGTCGAGATGCCTTTCTGTGGTAAGTTATTTAGAGAGCATTCTGTTTTGCGCTATGTGCCGGTTTTGATAATATTCTGGTTTGCACTGTATTGTTAGGATAAGCTTTATTCTGGTTTTCACTATGTTCAGCTGTTTCGGACAATGCTCTTTTTTTGACAATGTTTTTAGATGTTACAGTGCTGCTCTTTGATGATGGTTTAGGTGTTAAGCTGCAGTCATGACACTGTCTCTCACTATGTTAACCTGTTTTGATGATACCCTGTTTCTCAGTGCGTTTTCTCTGCACACATCGCTGAGAAAGGTTTGATAAGCAAGGGGCCAATCTCTCGTTATCAAAAGCAGGAGGGTACATGCACATTAGTACCTCAGCAGTATCCTTGTAAACTGAGAAGTGGTTTTGTAGATTAGTGGATGCTGAAATAATTAACCTTTTTCTGAATGTTGCTCATTGAAGCATTATTATAATACTAAAAATCACACCCATAGGTCAAAGAGACCCCTGCCCAGGTGAAGACCCTTCCCCTGAGCTTGCGTAATCGTGGAAGCAACCTGCCAGCAGTATTACAGTTGTATAACCAATCATTGTAAAGGGGGTAGACTGAGAAATTGCTAAGCCTGAAAGTTTTGTGTATAAATATAACACAAAAAACCCCGTTTGGTGTGCATGCTAGGAGGAGGTATCACCCAGGCACCCATCACCACAGTAAATCAATGTCGGCTTTCTAAACTATCATCTGGTTTAGAGTTTTCTTCATTACTTTTCAGTAAACATGTGAAGTAAACTGCTTTTAATCCTAAAATGAGAAGTTTGCTTTGTCAGATTACTTCACTTTTTGAAGGATAACTTACTCTTCCCTTCCCCATATGCTTAGTTATGGTGGACCTTCTTTCGGTGTATCTCAAGCCTTTTCTGAAGTATATTTTTGTTCTTTGCAGCAGGCACAGGAGTACACATTTTATTCTGTTAGCCTTTCCTTTTAGCTTCTCTTCAGCAAGTTGCCTAATTTTTTATACAAGTCTGCCTTTTGAAATTAAGTACAGTTATATGTGATGTGCTAGTCTTCTATTGCTTCTGCAGAAAACACTGAAACACAGTGTACCACAGTCAATGTTACTGAGTCAGTCTACCATTTTGAATCCATCCTACACTCAGGAACAAGACACCAACGTTGTTTGGGTTTGATTTTTTAAGAGTTTCCGAAGCCACCACACCATAAAGTGGTCATTGATCACCCTAAAAATGTTTAGCACTGCTGAGTATAATCCAGAAAACCTACTCACAGTTCCAAAATGACGACAAGGCCCACATTTGTACATTTGCAATGGTGTATTCTTAAAACTGTCATAAAGGTGCGTTTTGTAGTAGTTTATATTGTAACTGCTTTACAATATAAACCGAACAAATTCTGTTGCCACAGTTGTGTGTTAGGCACCAAACTAGGAACAAATGTTTCACAAAACTAATTCCTGGTACTTTTAAACAGTTCCTGTGTAACTCGAACTACTGTAAGTCTGTTCAAACAACTCACACAGATCAGTGAAACTGTATTTATTACGAAAAAGTTATGGACTCAAACTTCTACGTGCCTCAGTGCCTTATCCATAGGGAGAACATCACCTGTGATTTGACCATAAACTAATTAACATATCATTAAAGGTTAGATAATAATATAGAGATAATTACCTAATAATATTGCCTTGAAAATAAAGTTGCTCTAGATGGTAGGAATAACTTAAAATTTTCCCTTACGTTTAAAACTACTAAAAAAAAGGGTCACAGTTTAACAAGAATTATTTATTGACATTCAACTGAAACTCATTACCTGGAATTATAAAACTGTAGAACTTTTCCATGAGTTTTTGAATCAGTTGATTAGCTTTTTTGGGTCTACCACCTCCATCACTGAGAAACTCCGGTTTACTTAGCCCAGCTTCCAGAAGGTAAATTCCAACCTGTGAGATGGTTATACAGTTAATCGTGTAATTAACTGCTAGAATGGCAAGATTATAAACAGAAGTGTAGGAAAATGTCAACAGCACTTTGAAAATTAGCAGATGTAGACAGATATAATAAATCTGCTAAAATCACCATATCGAGGATACATTGCATTGCACCGAAAAGCTGCTGTGATTGCTTCCAGTAACACATTACTAAGTGCAACAGCAAAAAAATTTTTAGGAATAAACTTATTGAAAACATTTATATAAGCATGTAGAAACTACGTATTTTCATCACATTGTAAGAATATATGGTTGCTGCCAGACTTCATTGTTCAGAGGTATTTATTTCAGATTTCAAACAGAAGACAGCAACTTCTAAAATGCACAACAAATACATAAATGCATACCTTTAAAGTTTGAGCCTCTCCAGGTCTTTGATAAAGTCCAATTATCTTTTTCTTCTGCAACCATCTCAAGCCTTCCAGTATTTCACCACCTAAATTTGGTTTCACCAGAACTCGTTGTTCATAAGCACCCAGGTATTCTTTCGTTTCATTACCATACTCTTCTTCACCTCTTTCATGAACACAGACCTGCAGCTGATCATCTGAGTCTCCTCTCATTAAAGTAAAGCTCCTTTCCTGGAATTCATCAGTTAGAATTTGTTCAGAAGAAAGATGAAGAGCAAATTCTCCCAACAAAGCTTTCCAGGACCCATCCCCACGGTATGGCAAGACTGTGATATTTAGCTGTACTGACGCAGGAGTCAAAATGGAATAAGAATCTTCTTTTTGAAGGAGATCTTCGTCAGTGGTATCATCATTTATAACAATGAAGGATGCAGAAGAAGTGCTGGGAGCTGGAACGTGGTCCTCATTAGTCATTTCATCATCTATTGTTATTATCTCATTTCTCTGGTCTTCATGCATATTCCAGCAGAGCTGCTTTTTCTTCTCCTCATCTAGTTTTGATGGAGGGGCACGTTTTCGACGGCTACTCATTTTGTTGTTTTCTCAGCAGTATTTTCAGTCTCTGCAAGATGAAGTAAGCTAGTCAGCAGTAAGTATTTCAAAATCAAATGCTTACACTGAAATTTCACTGTGCAGCAGCTGCAGAACTTGCAAAAGGTTTGGACACAGACATGTGCACTAAGAAATCTCACTGTTGAAAACAGGTTTGGTTTTACACTCTCCTGTCCCTGTGCCATCACCCAAAACTAGACATGAAGCATTTGCCTTGTACTGTATCTTGCCTTTTGCCAGACAGTGATCAACAAGAACGCTGTATTTCAGAGTTGTAACTTAGAATTCTGTAGGACAGACATAAATGAGAAGCAGTGGAATCCCTCAAAGGGAAAGAAACTCCACAGCCAAAAGTACAGGAGGTACAGACGATTCATAGACTCACAGAATGGTTTGGGTTGGAAGGGACCTTAAAGACCATCTAGTTCCAACCCGCCTGCCATGGGCAGGGACACCTTCCACTAGACCAGGTTGCTCAAAGCCTCATCCAGCCTGGCCTTGAACACTTCCAGGGATGAGGCGACCACAGCTTCTCTGGGCAACCTGCCCCAGTGCCTCACCACCCTCTCCTGGAAGAACTTCTTCCTGGTATCTAATCTAAACCTCCCCCCTTTCAATTTAAACCCATTACCCCTTGTTCTGTCACTACAGGCCCTCGTAAAAACTCCCCCCCAGCTTCCTTGTAGGCCCCTTCAGGTACTGGAAGGCTGCAATATGGTCTCCCCAGGGGCTTCTCTTCTCTAGGCTGAACAAGCCCAACTTTCTCAGCCTTTCATCATAGGAGAGGTGCTCCAGCCCTCTGATCATCTTCATGGATTCAGAGGGAGGTGTGGGGAAAAAACAGACAAAATTCTTCCTTTCAAAGCCTACAGTGAAATTAAGCTTTAAGCAAGCTTGACACAGGGCTAGTCTGAAGCTGCCGTTGCATAAAATACAGTTCAGAGCCTAAACTATCAACTTCTGCCCTCAATGCCCTTCCTACTAGTACTGAATATTTTCCCAGGGAACTGTCCATCCTGGGACCTGCCTACATAAAGTGATTGCAGGGGAGCCCTTACTTACTCTAGTATGCATTTCAGTGGGACCAATGAGCAAACTAAATGCGTAGTCTTACTGATTTTGACTAGCGGTAAAGCTAAGTCAAGATATCTAGCTCCTTGGCTGAAACTGGGCAATGAACAGATATTTCTGGATAAAATACTAGAAAATAAAGTACTCATGCTAAACAATATACAGGAGAATTAGACCCATGTCGGAAGCTAATAACTACATACTCAAAACCACATGCTCATACTTAAACAAGTAGTAACCAATTTTTCATAAGGAGCCTGAATACAGCAATAGATTTGACCTCATATTACAGCATTTCTCAACAAAGACAGGAAAATACGTAGATATCCATGTGAGTTTAGTTTCTGCATACAAGTTTGAAATAAATGTAGGAAGATGATAGGCAAATATTCTAAGCTACTAAATCCAGTAACCCACTAAAACTAAATCCAGTAAACCGTTAAGGGGGCTTATGGTGGAACAGGGTTGAACTAGAATTCTGAATAATTTTAAAAGAGTCTTATAAATCAAACAAACCAACCCACCCTAATTTTCATAACTCATGAATGTCACAAGAAACTTTAAGGAACATACAAAACTTGCTGTGTTTACATCTCAAACACAACAGCACTAAGGAAAGGAAACGTGAGTTTTTCAAAACACTACTCCTGCACACGGAGGGCTGCTGACAGCGAACGAAGCAAACCCCAAGGGCGCCGTAACGCTGCTCCCTAACCCGAGAAAGGAGGATTCCTGCACCACCAGCTCCGCACGTGCACACCAACCTCAGCGCCGCACTCTGACGTACCAATCGCAGAACTGCCCTGTTCGAGCAGACCCGTTTGAAACTCCTACGGCCCGGAGACCACGGGTTCGACATGGTGAAGCCCCAGGCCTGCCCAGGGCAGCACGTGCGCAAGCAGCCGGTGGCGGGGCGGGGAGATCAGCCAACGCCG